TATATATATATATATATATATATATATATATATATATATATATATATTTTGTAATAGTATAAAAGTTACAAAAGCCAAAGGTGGCAGCTGGACTGTCCTGAATGAGCTGAAGGTTTGGATGTTTGAAGTTGTATGCATGTCAACAATGGTATGGTAAAACATACAAATAGAGAAACAGGATAACATCTTTCTAAAACATAAATATATAGCTCTTTAAATGTTAAAGTTTGACATTTTAGGAAATGCACATCAACTTACTGTAGTTTAATCTTTTTATCTAGCTCTGAGCTTGAAAACCTTCAAGACAAATATTTCCCCAAATGTCAAACTAATCCTTTCAGGCAGATTCATGTCACTTCACACTCCTTGGCCAGATAACGCAGAGCAGTCCAGGTTTGTTGTCCCCGCCGGCTTGTCTGCTAACACGGCGTGAAGGTTTATGTTGCTCCGTGAGAAACAAAAAGAGGAAATCTCACACGTCTGGAGCTTCTCCCATCCTTCAGATCAGAAAGGTCAACGATTCCAAAGACACGAGCAGAAACAAGCGACCTCTGTTTCACATTTGCATTTTCATGTAGCTTCAAACTTGAACAGCAACACGAGTGCTGCCACTCTGCTGAGTCCTGCCGCATAAAACGGATCCGATTCCTATCAGCTCTTCTGCCTGGCTGCTCTTGAGTCTGAGAGGACGGGAAGAGGTGGAAACAGGAGGAGTGGTGGTAGATAAGAGGCGGCAGGAGGTTGGTCACACTGGATGGTTGAGTGAACACGCGATGTGAGCGCAAGTAGTTTTAAAATGTTTAACAGCACGAGAAGGTGAGACAGAAACGAGCTGAACTTCGAAGAAGAAAACACATAAATCCAACCTTTTTGACTGTTTATATTTTGAACTTTCCTGGTACCTTTGATCAGCTGTGATGGAGACTCACTGGTAAAAGCTGCAGCTCCACCAGAGGAGCATTCGTTACAGTAATTCAGGTTAAAGATGGCACCAACACGCTTTAGAATATCATTCCTTTCAGTTCTGCTGAACTTGTACCCAGAAATAACTGACAAAGGCTTCTCCGTTTTTACCTTTTCATCATTTTCTCTCGTATAACCTCCCCCTTTCTGTCTCACCTTCACCATCTTCTTTCTTTTTTGTCTTTTACCTTGCGCAGGTTCCCTCCACACGGGTCGGACATCTCCTCCTCCCGGCAGCGTCCCAGAGGAGCAGCAGCAGATCGCCCGTCAGGGCTCCTACACCAGCATCCACAGTGAGGGGGAGTTCATCCCAGAGGCCCCAGACCAGAATGTAAGAACTGATCCATGCGATAAAATGCTGAGTCTCAATTTAACTCATGAACCTCAAAGCAGATCTGTCCTCCAGTTGTTCCTAACCCTGTTCCTTGAGGAACGCCATCCTGCATGTTTTAGTTGTTTCCCTGCTCCAACACACCTGATTCAGTGATTTAATTACTTCCCCTCATTCTGCAGAAGTCTGTTAATCACCCATTTATTAAAATCAGGTGTGTCTTAGCAGGGGACAACTAAAACATGCAGGATGGTGTTCCTCAAGGACCTGGGCTGGGAACCCCTGTATTTAAACATCAGCCATAAAAAGGCTTTCGTTTTGTTTCATCTTAAACTGCTCTGGTTCCCAGAGGTGTAATTTGTGTTGCTAATGATTTATTAGTCTTTACAGTTTTAAGTATTGAGATTCTGATTCAAATTATTGCACAGAAATGGCCAATTTATGCAGCAAACTGTTAAAATGTGCATTTTTGAAGCGTGTGCAGCATCTTAACAAGGTTGATTAAATCAGGTGTGTTCAAATATTTGAACTAAACATTGGTCTGAGGTCCTGAGTTTGATGAGGAAGTGTACAGGACAGTTCTGTTTCCTTAAGTCTTATTCTGTTAACGAGTCATCTAGATGTTATTTTCTTTTTTAATAAACAGTAAAAGGTTTTGGATGAAATCCGTTTTTAAAAAGCTCACAAATGATGCGTTATATTGTGAAGACGAGAACTTTATATACAACTGTTTCATCTGTACTGCTTGATATTTCATGCTCTGTGACCCTCGATCTGTGTGTGTTACATCTGTCAGATGCTGGATCCCTTCGGGAGTGCTGACAACTCACTGTCAAGCAGCTGTCAATCAATAGATCAAGCACTGGACAGGTGAGTCAAGGTGCACAGAGTGGGATTTGGGTTTCTGATTGCAGATGACAATCATTTACAGACATACGAGGCTTGTTTTGATGTTTATTAGATGCTAACGTGCACACAAAGAAGCAATCGGAGGATGAAGTTGGTGTGTTTGACCACGTCTGGGCTGATTGTGTGGAAAACGACGACGACAAAAGAAATCAGGTCATTTAGTTGTTGCCATGGCGAAGGGACTCTTATCTGAATGCCGGGATTCTTGTGTTATCACAAGAGCGAGTGAAAGCAGAGACTGAGCAGTGACGGGAACATGTCGGCTGAGAGGAAAAGCAGAAAATGAGAAGTGTGAAATGGAGCGAGCTAAGAGGAGAGTGCACGATAGAGAAGGCTTGATTCTGAATCAAAAGGAAAAAGTGAAAAAAAAAGTGGGCGGGAGCAAGACTGGGTCAGAGTAGAACAGAAATTGTTCTACCTGCACAAGGCTTATCAGGGGAACAATGGCAGGAAACAAGTGCATGGAACTTTTCCCTGCAAACGGGCATGCGTGCCCCTTATTCAGAGTCTCGTGGCCCGACGCCGCCCTGCGGTCAACAGAGACGTCACTATCGGGAGGGTCAGAGCTGGACGCAGACACCCAGGGAAGTAGATGCACATTTGTTAAGAAACAAAACAGTTTGGCTGCAAGTTCAACAGCGCATACTCTACTTTCACTTTCTCATCTGGAAAAGCGGGAAGTTCACAGCTGGCCTGTCCTGCTTCACAGCACATTTTAGACACACCAATAGCATTAGCAATAGCCTGTATTACTACTAGCTTGTTGCATTACTTTAAAATGAAACGTGCAAATTACAGTATATACCAAAACATACAGCTTAACTGGAATTGTGTACTATTAGTTTTGGTAATGGTAGGTTGTTCAACACAACAACAAAAAATACTGATAAATAAAAAAAAATGGAATAATGGAGATCAACGGATTTAAGTGAAACAGATGACAAAATCCAGCCCTTTTTGTGGCTCTACAGCTCAGGCATTCTTCACAACAGATACGTTTAAACGGATCACAGAAAGTCAGACTTCTAATGTCGGAACTGGTGTTTTGATGTTTTTAACAGGTTTTACACAATCGCAGTTTTAAGTTGAGGTGGTATGGTGGCTCAGTTTGTAGAGCTGTTGTCTCTCAGCGAGCAGGCCGCCGGATCGAATCCTGGCCGGAGACGTTTCTGGGTGGAGTTTGCATGTTCTCTCCGTGCATGCGTGGGTTTTCTCCAGGTTCTCCGGTTTCTTTCCACAGATTAAAAGCATGAATGTTAGGCTGATTGGTAACCCTAAATTGTCCCTAGGTGTGAGTGAGAGAGTGATTGATCGTTTGTCTCTATGTGTCCCTGTGATGGATTTGCGTCCTGTCCAGGGTGTCCCCGCCTCTTGCACAGTGATTGCTGGATATGGCCTCATGGTAAAAATATAATGGATGGATGGATTTTACTTTTCTTGTTTCCACAACCTTTTTGCTAGACTTGGATAAAACGTTGCAAATGTATAAAACTTCACTCTGTGACCATCGGAGCGTTCTGTTGGCGACATTTTAAAAATCCGACTTATAATTAGTGCACAGCGACTGTTTGTTTGAGGCTTACTTTTCTGTTTGCTTCTTCTTAACTTGGCAGTTAGGGAGTGACAGACACAGATGTGTGGTTTCCACGGTGACCATAATGAACCGCTACCAGCAGCTTTACACGTTTTTAACACGTATTAAACAGTTCACACATCAAAACGTCAGCATTATTAGTTATGTTAGCTACTTGTGCTTCAAAATGTCTTCACTAATATTTTAATTGAAAAAATACATTTGTTCCAGAAGTCGTTTTTGGACATTTCGTCGTTTTATTTCTTAGTTTGATTTAATTTGATTTCAGACTCGGATTGAAAAGTCCAATGAATTACTGACTGAAATAGCAATCATTTTTTAAAAACTTCTCTCCCCTCTGTTCTGTCTTGTTGTTTAGCCCTCCTTTCTCACAGAACAACCGGGACAATAATTACCTGAACCTCAACTATGAATACAAAGGTAAGAGAGAATAGATCTGCGGCAGTCGCTCCAGTTATCTCCGCCTCGCTGCTTATACACTACAAAAAGACTTCTTTATTAAAACAGTCTGTGCATGTCTACGTTTATTATGAACTAAAAGATTTTAATGAAACTTTACAACTGATTAACTTTAGGTAGTTGATCTTCTTCTTTAGTTTCTTGAAGAGATACCGTATTTTTCGGACTATAAGGCGCACTTAAAATCCTTTTAATTTTCTCAAAAATCGACACTGAGCCTTATGTATTAATTCTGGTTGTGCTTACTGACCTCGAACAGATTTAACGTGCTACACGGCGCTCAAAAAACATGTCCAAATGTTTTAGTTTCACTTATTGCGCCTTATGATCAGGTGCGCCTTATAGTCCGAAAAATACGGTAAGTCTTGTGGGTTTTTTCATGCATTTTCATCTCTGGACACTTGATTCATCTTATTTTTCAGTTTTTATTTTTTTAAAGCAAGTTTTTTTATTTTATGATCACTTGCCGCCTCTTGAAGCCCCCCCCCCCCTTCATCATCCACTCCTCTCCCGTGTCCCTCCGCTCCCCGTCTGTTCCCTTTTTCCTTCAAAGAGCGCAGGATGATGGATAACGCCACACTAACCCTTTTTGAATCCTCTTGTTTTATTCCCCGTCCTCGCTCCACCCTAAATTAAAAAAAAGAAATTCTGCACAATGACTCATTTGGGCATGCGTGCACATGTACACGCACAGATGTAAAAGCTTGTGTGGCCCTCTCTGCCGAGGGGCCGCGGCGTTTATCATTCCCCGTGAGTAGATTTTTCCTCTCTGTTCCTCATTGCCAAGCTCAAAAAATAACTCCGTCTCCATGGGGACACGGCCACAATAACACGGCGAGAGGAGGCCGTGCTCTGACAGAGCAGCTGCTTTCAATTGCGAGTTGCTCCGGCTCTCCCCATTTCACAGCGTCTGCGCTCACGTGCGTCATCAGAGCTCCCCACCTGCCTTCAGCTGCAGATCTCCGTCTCTGGCCCGGCTGCAGCGAGGCGACACGGTGGGCTCTGCTCCACGTGTTCAGGGACTTTCTCTGACATGCATGAACGAAAGCAGCACAGTCAGATACGATCTACGGAAATGTGAACGTCCGCCATCAGCGCTTTTGCATTTGTGCACTTTTAAAGCTGCAACCTGAAACCTGAAACGTGAATTAAGGTATCAAGACAGACATCGTTTAAAGATGAAATGTGAGACTAAGCGTTCAGAATTGAATCGTTTATTTGCTGACGTGAAGTTCTTTTTGTTTTTCTCCTTTTTTGCAGGCCGACATGGGAAAGGAGGGACTTTCCCACGCCAGTTCCAGCTGCCCAATCGCAGCAAGGATTATGGAGATCGTAAGAAACCAGCTTTGCTAGAATTTTAACAACGGCCTCATTATTGCACAGATTAAACAGATTATTACAGTCTAGCCTTAAGATTATTGTTCTTCTTTTTTCTTCCCACCTTTTCAGACCACTTTGATTTGTTTTGTGTAGTTTTGGTACATAAAGTGCAGCTTTTCCACACAGCTAGCTCAGAGGCTAGCTGTGATTTACATTTCCGTGTTGGACCCGAACGTGCATAAAATCACAGCACCCTTCTTCCTGTTTGAGAAGAAGTGGGGTGGAGTCTAGGCTCTGGCCAGAGTTGAATCCTGGCCACTTTATGCACAACTTTCACAAAGTAAAATAATAAGAGGCTACACAATATGTAAATGTGTAATGTATTGAAGGAGCTAAAATAAAGCTAAAAGAAGCTAAACACAATTATTCTGTGGAATATGTGAAAAGTCACTAATGTTTTGGGTTTTTTTTTAATCTGTGTGCTTTCAGGTCGTAGGACACTCCCTCGCAGCTTCATGCCACAGGAAAACCTTTTTCAGCTGGTTCCCTCCAGTCGCACACGCAGTTACAACGGCGACAGCACGCTGCCGTTCTGCGACCTGCGCTCGCTGGGTCGCACCACAGACAAAAGCTGCCAGCGTGGCACAGCCAAATGTAAGAACATCACCTCCCCCTGTTGATAATCATGCATAATTTTTTTTGCATTGTCTGCAAAAGGTTTTTGCCTTGAGTAGGTGAATAATCACTGAACCTGGGATGAAACAGGTTGTTACCTGCAAGATTGAGGGAATAGCTGCACGTTTTCTGTGACTTTTCTGTGACTTTTAGAAATTGGTTTATTTTGGAAAGATAAAAAGTAGTGTAAAAGCAAAAGCTAACAACTAATTATTTTAAAGTTGGCATATTTACTGTATTTTCCAGAGTATAAGTCGCATCAGTCAAAAAAAGCATCATGAAGAGGGAAAAAACATATATGTCACTTTGGCATATAAGTCGCATTTATTTAATGGTCAAAATAGCTTAATTTCACCTGGGCGGCGCGGCGCCATCCATCCATCTAATCCATCCATCCATCCATCCATCTATCCATCCATCCATCCATCCATCCATCCATCCATCTATCCATCCATCCATCTATCCATCCATCCATC